GTTTGTAACTCTGTATTGTCTGTACTGTTCTTTTGCTATTTTGTAAAAGGTTGTCTGTCTGTTAATGTTTTCCTCCTTTTATTTTTAAAATAGAAAAAAAAGAAGTTCCTGGCCTCCATGAGGGACCAAGTGTACAATAAATGGTCAACCTCTTGCGGGGAACAATGGATACCCTTGGGAAAGAAAGGAGGGTAAATGACCTACCAAAGTAGATTTGAGGAACAAGTCCTTTGACATTTCAACCTAGTGCTAAACAATTACCTGTGTCAGGAAAGTCTTCACACTGAACCTTAGCTCTCGCTGTCCGCTTTAACCCATCTCCCTTAACCTGTCCATCACGCCATCTCTTCCACAGGATCCTCTGTCTTCCAGAGGGAGAAAGATAAAAGGCTCTCATTATACTTCCACTCATAAATAATGCAGAAAGAAAATCTTCCCACTGTTGTTCTCATACCAAATTCATAAATAAAAGGTGATTTGGAAAGTTTGAGCTTTCTGATGAAGTTAATCTCTGCCCATGTTAAGCTATTGTACTGGAGCAAGCTGAAAGGTGCTTATTACCACTGAGGAAACATCTGCATTTTATACTTTACTCAAAATATGGTGTTAAAATAGAAGTTCCAGCAAAGCACCAAGCACTAAGGTAAGATAGATGATATTAGCGATATTGAGACCAAATGCAGAATTTACAAAGGATTTAGCCCAAAACCCCTTAACATGGCTGTTGAAATCCTTCAGGCACATTAAGATTATAAAAGATCCGATTGTTAGACACTGGTGAGGATTTGTGGAGAGAATCTCTCTGGGGGCAGCTGTCGCTCCTCTCTCGGTCCCACTGCTTCATCCAAGACTCAAGGGGACTGAGGAGGACCCTGACACTTACCTCATGGTGAAATGACTACTCTCGGGGTAAGCATCCTCCTAACGGGTGAAAGCAGATGAAGGAAGCACTGGCGGCGGGAGGTGCAGCTCCATGATAGGGCCGGCCCAACATCCAGGAGTCTCTGAGTGCGATCCCAAGCACCACCAAGCTGCAGGAGAGGAAGGAGGAGGAGATGCAGGAGAAAAGTAGAGGAGAAAGCAGACAGGAGGGAGAGAGGGGAGGAGAGCAAGAGAAGGAGGAAAGAAGGAAAAGGAGAGTTTGCTTCTGTGTGAGGATCAGCCTATGTTCCCGAAGTACACCTGGGCAAACCGTGTGTTTCCTGTAGACTACATTTGAACCCAAAGTCACCAAGTATGGTGTGTACATTATGTGCTACCAAGGGTGCAGCATCTAATGTTGAGAAAGAGAGAGTCGAGCTATATTCATGCAGTACTCGTGATAGGTCTGTATATTTCTTTTTGGTAGACAGCAATATGGGGTCTTATTCTAACATAATATCTGTTCGGGTTTCCCCATTAGTAGGAAGGAAGTGTCTGGAGAATGAGCACCTTGTTCTAATCAACACAAGCAGCACATGGACAAGCAGCAGCACTCCGGGTTTCACACACTACAGAGAGAAGCGGCCGGCATAGGTGTTCTCTTGAATCCCTCCAAATAGGGTCACCTGGAAAGATGAAGGACACTCAGCAAAGAGACGCAGATGTGGGCCACCAGACTGCAAGAGTCCGCAGATGCTCGAGCAAGAGCACTCAGTTGGAATGAGGGAATTAGGGATGGGAAGCGCCTGGCCCTGAGATCAGAAGTGGACACAGTTACAGATGCACCACCCCAGAGCAGGTGGGACGTCTGCGAACAGTGTTGGTTCTCCCACTTTTCCTTCATAGCGTAATGCACCCCCCAAGCTTAAATAACTTCTGCACGCCCCCAAAACCTATTTCACCCACATGCAGAGTAATTATGCTATCTAAAGGTCCTTCAATAACTAAAATTTTGGTAAATTTTAACATCATGTTTTACGGTCCGATCTTTACTAGCATTTAGAGAACTGTGAAATGGCAGTGTCAGACCAAGGAAGGAAATGTAAAAAGCAATGGAGCTTACAGAGAGAAAGACGACCAAAAAGTAACTAGGAATAAAGCATGATAAATGGAAACAGATTGGAGCAGCCAAGGGGGCCAGATTTCCAAGCAGGACAACATGGCATTTTTTAACTTAATTGGTACCTCATGACTGAGTCAATAAAAACAAGATGGTCAGCAGGTGGGCTCCCTGCACGGGCCCGGCCGCCGCCCAGCGTCACTGAGGTGATCGTAAGTGGTCGGACTATGCATGAATAACGGAAGAGCGAGCTGCTGAGTTGCAAAGCTGGGAAGCCTCGGGAACTCCCTGGACAGCAGCCTTATGAAAAGCGTGAGAAGGAGTCCAGACCCAGGCCGGACACTAAACCCAAAGATCACAACGAAACAATGTGCCTGAGTTATCAGATGCCAGGAAACAAGCAAGAACCAGAGGTCTGCCAGTTCATTAGGTCAAGCTGGGTCAGGAACAAAGCTATTTGGGAGAAAAGAGATAACTGTGAAACCTAAAAAAAGTACGCAGAGATCTTCTCTTCCACAGAAGGCACGCTGGATGCCTTGATGTGCACGAAAGTTTTGGAATAGGCACCCGGCCCCAGGTTTGAGGAAATCAGTTTAAATCTTCTATGTGTGCGTGAGTAGGTAACTCTCATTGTAACAGCTGGCTAACACTCTCCTCTCTCACACTAACCTTTCCGCCAGTTACAAAGAAAAGTCCACCTCTCCCCCAGGTCAAACCCTAAAGTGCTTCTGGGACCAGAAAGAATTCATGATCCCTTCAACCAAGTCACCAAGTGTATACCCCACATTGCATCCAGTTTAAGAGCTGCATTTCCTATGTATTTTACTTCAAAAAATGATCAAATGTTTTAATAGCTTTGAATATTTTTGAGCAGCTGCAGACTACTAGCAATTATAGCGATAATGTCAGCAGTATCTTCACACTAATAACTTTATCACAAAAACATGTATAATTTATCTTCCAGTTTACATTTTTGTTGATGCAGTTAAGCTTACAAGGGAGGGACTGTGTATCAGTCAGGCTGAGAAAGGGAGCATTTAAGGAACTGGTTCAAGGAACTGGCAAGCCTAACTCTGTTAAAATAATGACCTGGGGGGGGCATTAGACAGAGGCAGCCCCACTACTGTGTGTTCCTTTGTAAGCAAACCGGGAAACCCAAGTTAGTATAAATGTCCACACTCCACTTGACCAGTGGTGGTGAACCTATGACACACGTGTCACAACCAGCTGCTCAGTATCATTGAAAGCTCTAAAAGATTTGCCATCACTGCTCGGCCAATCAGAAACCACTGGGCATGGTGGCACATACCTGTAATGCCGGCATCTATGAGGCTGAGGCAGGAGGATCATGGTAAGTTCCAGACTAGCCTGGGTTACATAGCGAGTCCAAGCCAGCCTGAACTACATAGCAAGGCACTGTCTCCAAAAACAAAACAAAACCAGAAAAGAAACCACTACCTATCCTCTAAGCGAGGGTTCTCCACTGGAATGATTTCTTCACCTTCCACATTCACTCTGTAAAAGCTTTACCCCTGTGCCCCTTCAAGGGAACCCCAACACTCTTCTAGTCTCAAGCCAGTCAATTCATTAATCACCATGCACTCAAATAAACTATAAATTTTGATGTGCCTCAGTTTATCTTCCAATAGATTTGGAGAGTAGCCTAGAAATTCAGGCAGGGGCTTATGTTTCAGTCTTGGGAAAAAAAATTGTTTTTCCAAAAGCCTGCATTATTTGGTTTTTTTTTGGGTTTTTTTTTTGGTTTTTTTTTTTTTTTTTGGTTTTTCTCCAGTACCGGGAACCGAACTCATGACCTTGTGCTTGCCAGGTAGGCACTTTGCCGCTGAGCTAAATCCCCAGCCCCTAAGCCTGCATTATTTGTTACTGTTCTGAAAGCCTTCATCTGATTGGATGAATCGCCACCTACATTATTAAAGGAAATCTCTTTCACTTAAAGTTAACTAATTGTAGATGCTAACCACCGATAAAAAAGCCTTCACAACACTTCTACAGTATTAGCGTTGATTGAATAACTAAGTACTCAAGCCTGGCCAGGTTGACACAGACATTAACCCTCAGAGTAAACAGTGAAAGTCACAAAAATATGTTACATGAAGATAAAATCCATAACAGAGCTAGGCACAGTGGTGCGTGCCTGTCATTGCAGCTACTTAGGAGGCTGAGACAGGAGGACTTCAAGGTTAAGGCTAGCCTAGACAATTAAGGAAGACCCTGTCTCAAAACAGAAAAAGGCTGGGGATGTAGGTCAGTGGTAGAACACCCTTGGGTTCAATCCCAAGTACTGCAAGAAGGAAGGAAGAGGGGAGGGGGGAGGGAGGGAGGGAAGAAGGAGTTACCCTTGTCACCCCTCCTCCCCTCGCTCTAAGGAGTATAGAGAGAGATGCTTCCTGCTTGAGGGAGGGAGAAGGAATTGAATCTGGGTCTTAGACTTGAAACACAAAACTAGTCTCTCCAGAGTAAAACCCAGGGCTGGGCAGAGTCCCAAGACCCCTGCCCCAGACCTGTACCTGTGAACTGAGTTAATAGAACTGTACTGGGGCTGGGGATTTAGCTCAGTGGCAAAGCCCCTGCCTGGCAAGCGCAAGGTCGTGAGTTCGGTTCCCGGTACGGGAGAAAAACCAAAAAAAAAAAAAAAAAGAACTGTATTAACCATTTCTCCTGCAACCTTGAGCACCAGAACGTGGAGCAGGCCTCTCCTACTGGGGAATTGGCTAAGAAAGCTAGCACAGAGCTTTGCCTTGGGGGTCAGTGCTAGAACCCCCTGCAATTAAGACCCAGCACCAGGCAGAACCAAGGGCTACTATACACAGGCCGGAGCTCACACATGGAGCCCGTAGGCCTGGCCCAGCACCAACAGAGGCCTGGCACTGTTGGGACAGATGCAGTCTTGACCCATATCATTGCTAGCCTTAGAATGGGCTTAGGGCTCACCACCTCTCTTCCTGAGACTAGGCAGGCTCCTGGTATAACCCAGCATAGCATCAGCATTGGTGGCCAAGAAACTATCTCCACCACCCAGCCTTCCACTCCAGGTAGCATAGCTTTCCCTGGGCCAGTACTCACAGACAGAGCTCTTGATTTTCCCTGGCAATAAGCAGAGATCTGTGCTCCAGCGGGACGGTCTCATGTTTGAACCTGCATCACCACCAGCTGCCCTGTGGGCCTGGGTGCACCCTTGAGACAGTGCAGGTCTTTGCAACTTTGAGACCGGTGTATGACCTAGCTTAGCGTCCACGAGGTGGCAAGTGGACTGACTTCACCAACACTACCCCAACCTCAAGCAGTGTAGACTCCACTTGCAGGAGCAAGATAAGATCATAAGCACAGGACTTTGCCTTAGAAACTCAGTAAAACCTACCACTACCAGGCCTTAATGAACTCCACCCTCAGACCAACGAACACCAGGATCCCTGGAACAGTGCTGGTGTCAGAGAGCAACACACGGGCCCAGTCTATCAGATTTCCAGCAATATGCAGCCCAGAGCAGTGTGGGTCTAAAGCACTAGTACATCTTTTATAAAATGTTTAACTTATGAAAAATTGGATGTCAATAAAAGTATGTAAGAGTATAAAAGCACTGATGATCAAAATTCCTTTCAGGGTCATGCAAAAAAATGGACAAGGTCCACTTAGGGCCTAGGACGGGGTCTAGCTGTTGTCACAGAACATGGTTGCCAACCTTGTAGACTCGCAGTGCACTGTGCACACATGCCGTCGTAGTTGTATGAATATAACTTACACAAGGTGCCTTGGTTTGGGGTTAGTGCTACTGTTGTAATATTACATAAGCAGCGCTTACTTGATCGGGTCGGGGAGAGTAGCTGAGACGACATCTGCAAGGCACGTACCCCAGCCAGGTTGTTCTTACTCCCGAAACACCTGTACGGAAAACAGGCTCAAAATTCCCTCTGCTGACCTACACAATTATATCTCTTAGTTGAAAAGCAGTTTTTTCCCAGTTTGTGTATTTCATGTGCCAAGAGAAGCTGACGCAGTAAACATTCAGACTGCAACCCTTGTAGA